TAGCCTCATTGTGCAGATTGTCTTCCTCTGAGGCCATGTCATCCCACTTATTGCAAGCTATTTGGAAAACCAAAAGTCCAAAGAAGGTTAGCTTCTTCATTTGGATTTTTCTGTTTGGAAAATTCAATACAGCGGATGTTCTCCAAAAGAAGCTAATGCTGCCTTTCACCTTCCATTTGTGTTGCCAATTTCCATTTGTGTTGCCAATCTTTTGGTGAAAACCTGCTGCATTTGTTCTATTCTTGCCCTTTCGCTCAGAACTGTTGGTCTTACTATTCCAAGAGTTCAATTTCTCTTGGGTGTTTGACGGGAATGCAGTAAATAATCTTACTCAACTTCTTCTCGGGCCATCTTTGCCTCCTAAAGCTAATCTGTTGTGGCTGAACGCTATTAAAGCTAGCTATGTTATATGAGTTGTGGTTTGAAAGGAACCTAAGAACTTTTGAAGACCGAAGGAAATCCTCGTTCGATCGGTTTCACTCAGTAAAATTCAAAGCTTCTCAGTGGTGTTCTTTATCTACTTTGCTTGGAGATTACTCCCCTAGTCTTACCTGTTCTAATTGGAGTGTCTTTATTTTTCATTGTTAATCCTATCTATTTCTTGCTTGTCTTTCTTTTTTTTTTAATAAGAAACCGAGAAAAATGAAAACAAAACAGAATTACAAAGTCATACAAAAACACAGCCTCGAAAAAGGAAGCCAGCCTAGAGAAAGGGCTTCCAATCAAAAAGAATATGACCTAGCTGATAATTACATAATAAATTCGAAACAGACCCCACAAAGAGACATTAAACCTAACAAGATCCCAGACAAACTTCCACTCTCTTTCCACCCCCTAAAGATTCTATTGTTTCTTTCCCCCCAAATACCCCACAAAATCCCAAAGAATCCCACCCGCCAAAGGAAACTCCTTTTCTAGCAGAAGGGAGAATACAACAACACTTCCTCCACCATCGACACCCACCCTCTATGACGAGCCCAAGAAATATCAAATATCTTAAAGAACTGGCCCCAAATATTCTGGGAAAACTGGCACTGCCATAAAATATGGTCGAGGTCCTCGAAATCCCGCTTACAAAGAACGCACCACTGCGGCCCCAAGTAAGAAGAATAACGCTTCTGAATACGATCCATGGTGTTGACCTTTCCAAGTAAGACCTGCCACACAAAAATTTTTATCTTCTTCGGGATCTTCACTTTCCACAGCACGGTAAACACCGGGGCCGCATGGGGAGAAGTAGGGGAACATAAGAGTTTAAAGAAGGAACTAGAGGAGAAGCCCCTAGAAGGGTTATGGGACCAAGCACGGAAGTCCTTCCTACCACAAAAGAGAGAAACTGTAGAGAGCAATAGAATCAACTCAGACATTTCTCGAGACTCTCTATCAATTAAGGATCGAGAGAGACCCAGAGATAAAGACANCATCATCGACACCCAATCTCTATTACGAGCCCAAACAATTTCAAATATCTCAAAGAACCGGCCCCAAATGTTCTAGGAAAACTGGCACTGCCATAAAATATGGTCAAGGTCCTCGGAATCTCGCTTACAAAGAACGCACCACTGCGGTCCCAAGTAAGAAGAAGAGCGCTTCTAAATACGATCCATGGTATTAACCTTTTCCAAGTAAGACCTGCCACACGAAAATTTTTATCTTCTTCGGGATCTTCACTTTCCACAGCGAGGTAAAGACCGGGGCCGCCGGGGGAGTAGTAGGGGAGCATAAGAGTTTAAAGAAAGAACTAGAAGAGAATCCCCTAGAAGGGTTAGGAGACCAAGCACGGAAGTCCTTCCTAGAGAAACTGTAGAGAGTAAGAGAATCAACTCAGACACTTCTCAAGACTCTCTATCAGTTAAGGACCGAGAGAGACCCAGAGATAAAGACAACCCCATCCCCCCCATTTCCCAACACCGAGGCCACCGAGTGCAACCTTTTGTCTGACAAATGAAAAATGCGAGGAAACAAAAGATAAAGAGGCTTTTCCCCCACCCACGTGTCTTCCCAAAAATAAGTATCATGACCATCCCCCACTGAACAAATTAGGAATTGAGAGAAAAAAGGGAAACCTGTGGAAATAGCCTTCCAAGAGTTATTCGCACTAGCCTTTAGTCCTCCGCCAGCCACCCAATCGAAGGGATGAGGACCGTACTTACTCACAATGACCTTTCGCCACAAAGCATTAGGTTCGTGGAAGAAACGCCACAACCATTTAGCCATAAGCGCGTCATTTCTGTGCCTCAAGTTCCCAATACCCAAACCTCCAGCCTCAGTCGGCTTGACAACTGTCTCCCAATTAACTGCATGAGCCCCACCCCCCTCATCCACCCCTTCCCACAAAAAATCTCTCATGATTTTTTCCAGAGTCTTGCAAACCGCCACAGGAGCTTTAAAAAGAGAAAAATAGTACGTTGGGATTCCGCTTAAAACCGCTTGAATGAGAGTTAATCTCCCTCCTTTCGAGAAAAAACTTTTCTTCCACAACGRTAAACGCTTCTGAAACTTCTCTAGCACTGGGTTCCAGAAGGTAAGGGTCTTAGGATTATGCCCCAGAGGAAGGCCCAAATAAGAAGTCGGGAAAGTACACACAGAACAACCTACCGCAAAGGCCCAACGAGAAAGCAAAGAGGGATCACATTTAATACCCAACAGCAAACTTTTTCCTCGGTTGATCTTAAGCCATGATAACGCCTCGAAGAAAGACACCAGACTGATCAAGTTCCTAAATGAGGCTTCCTTCCCTGAGCAAAAGAGAATAGTGTCATCAGCAAACTGAAGGTGGGAGAGGCTAATCTAATCTCTTCCCACAACAAAACCTTCTAAAACCCCCTTATCCACGCCTGAAGAAAGAAGAATGCTCAAAATATCCAGCACGAGGATAAAAAGGAAAGGGGAGAGAGGATCTCCTTGTCTCAGCCCTCTTGTCGCTTGAATCTTTCCTTTGGGTCTCCCATTAACGAGAATAGAAAAATTTACCGATCGGAGGCAATTCCAAATCCAAGATCTCCATTTGGAACCAAAGCCCTTCTTTTCCAAAACTCTATCAAGAAATCCCCAGTCGACATCATCATAAGCTTTTTCAAAGTCCAACTTAAAAATAACACCCCCTTGCTTTCTTTTCTTGTAGTCTTCAATTGCCTCCTTGACAATGAGCACTTGATCCAAGATTTGCCTACCTGCAATAAAGGCACCTTGCGTATTAGAAATAGTACTGGGGAGGACCTACCTCAGTCTATTCGCTCGAGTTTTCGCAATAATCTTGTATAAGCTCGTTACAAGACTGATTGGCCTGTAATCCTAAATCCTAGTAACATTTTCTTTTTTGGGGATTAAGCAAACATAAGTTTCATTCATGGCTTTKTCAATAATCCCCCTCTCAACAAATTCCCGAAAAACCTTCATCAAATCCTCCTTAATCCTATCCCAATTGTCCTGATAGAAAGCCATGGAGAAACAATCAGGACCAGGAGATTTATTCCTTTCGAAACCAAAAACCACTTTTTTAATCTCCTCCAAAGAAAAAGGCTTCTCCAGCACTTCTCTTTCTTGTCTCGAGATAGGGTTCCAATCCAACCCCTCCAAGAAGGGTCGTGGCCCAATCTGCAGGGCATAAAGCTTAGCAAAGAACGAAACCACCTCCAATTCAATCTCCTTCTCCTCCTTCAAAACTATCCCATTCTCATTAATTAACTGGGTAATGACATTTTTGTTCCGTCTCCAATTAGCTACCAGCATCCTTGTGTTATAATCCCCATCCTTAGCCCAACTAACCTTGGCCTTCTGTCTCCAACTCACATCCTCTTTACAAAGGCCATCTTCAAAAGCTCCTCTCATGGCCATCCTTTCCTCCCTAAGATCCGATGAAAACAAACCTCCATCTCCAAATTGTCTAAGGTCTTTAAACGCTCAAGGATTTCAAGCTTCCGCACCCGGATATCACCAAAAACCGAGACATTCCAAGCCTTGAACGAATTTCTCAGAGAGCGTAATTTTCCCATAAAACGATAACCTTCCCACCTTCCTGGAACCTCAACCTCCCACCAAGAGGGCATTGACGCCTTAAAGGAAGGGTGCTCAAGCCACATGTTTTCAAATCTAAAGGGACAAGGATCCCATTTAAAAAACCCAGCATCCAAACAAACCGGCCAATGATCGGAAGTCAACCTGGGCCCCAAAAACTGCCTCACTTTAGAGAAGCTTTCCATCCAACCCTTAGAAAGAAGAAATCTATCAAGCCTGCAACTCACCCCTGGCCTGTCCTGTGAACCTACCATTGGCTAACGGCGGATCCACCAAATTGCAATCCTCTATGAGAGAGTTCAAAGTTTTCATAGATTTCAAAAGGCGACCTCCACTAGACTTCTCATACGGGAATCTAACCACATTAAAATCCCCAGCCAAACACCATTTATCTCCACATAAACCAAAGAGATTCCCAAAAGGCATTTCTGCCTCTTGGAGAGGGAGGAACATACACTCTCGTAATCCAACACAAACCTTTATTAGGGACTTCAAAGGCCACGGAAACAAAAAAGAAACCTCTCACAACCTCCACTGCTTTTACTGCTCGCCTATCCCACAGTAAAAGGACCCCTCCTAACGCTCCAATGGAACCAATACCCGCCCAGTCCACTAAGCTTCCTCTCCAAATGAGAAGTTCGTATCCTTTGAACAATTTTGTTACTTTTCATTATTTCAATGAGAAGTTTGTATCTTGTTCAAAAAAAAAGTTATTTTTTTAATCTTTATGTTCTTTATTTCTTTCCCTATCGTAGTAGGTCTCCTATTCCCATTTTGTAGTAAGTTTACTATTCCTTTTTGTGGTAGGTCTTTCTTCTATATAAGAAGACCTAAGTTGCACTATTTAAATATATCAGAATATTTTTATGTTCTTAAATTTAACAAACTCCTAGATATGAAAAACTCAAAATAGCTTAAGCACAAACAGAAACATATCATCAACTATCTAAAAGCATCACATGGGATAGAAACTTATAACATACCTTAAAAAGAGGGCAATCAAGGGTCAACGTTTCATATTCTCCACCTTCACCACATACATTGATCCCATATAATCTGTCCAAACGAATGAAAAATATAATAGTTGTGCTACGGTGCTTGCCACAAGGTATGGGCTACCATTCAAAAGCTAACACATAACATCCTTAATTACTTGTTCAACTTATGTAGATCTGAATCCAAAGATGCTAGTTCTTTGCCCAAGTGCTTCACAGGATCCAACCCCATTGCAGCAACCTAAGTAGATCGAAGTAATTTCAAGCCATCAAAATAAATAGAAGGATTTTATTTCACTTGATATAAAGAATAGAAGGATTTTATTTCACTTGATATAAAGAAAAAAAACCATCAGAAGAGGTGCATAGTTGTAGGGTGGGGTGGTTATAAATAGAGGATGAATGAGATGAGAGGTTAGGCATATTTTGGGAATTGGTCCATTGTGGACTTGGGAGAAAGTGGTTTAAAATATTGTATGTTAGGAGGTTTGGGGTTGACAAGTGGGTTAATGTTCCTTCCAATAGTATGGGATTGGGAGAGCAGCTAACTCTCATCTCCATCTTGTAATATTTTTTTAATCTCAATACAAAATCAATAGTTTCCACATCATCTCAAAAAATTTCCACATCATCTCAAAATAATTACAAATAGATTAACCGGAAATAATTAGAACTCAGATAGGTAGGTAGGCAGCACAGGAGAAAAAAGGTTTAACTACTAATTTAAGTTCAATTTTCTGCACTTGCAAATGGATGCAATCTCTACTCACTTTATATCGTTTTTAAAACAAAACAACAATTAACACTTCAGAAATAAAATTATCCTCTGATCATTTATTTTGGTTGATCTCCATCCACATTAAAAGAATATAAACATACTAATGCATGTATTATCATTTTTTTTAACAAGAAACAATTTTTCATTGATATATGAAAAGGAAAAATGCATGCATTATCATTACGAAATGAATTTAGTAATTTAATCATTTATCTGATCATATATGATTAAATAACAAAATTTAATTGCTTTTAACTATATGTAGATCCCTCAGGTGACTCATCAGTTTTTTATTCTCTTGTGAAATGGCTCTATGTTTCTAATTTAAAAAAAAAAACTTCATATATCTCATCATAACACAAAAATAGATTAATGATTGTAAATATCTTTATAACTGATTAGACAGAGCATACATGTACAATGCAAAGGTTCCATCTTGCTGAAACAACACCCTTCCAAACCCTCAACCAAGCCAAAATGATGGGGGAAAGAAAACATAACAAGAGAAAGTGAGAGAAAGATAAGGAATTATACCTTCACCGTGATGGCCAAAATTCCATTGTTTATCTGGTTTAGACCAAGAAGGGGAAGACATTTATTGGAAGAATTCAAAATGTATAGTATCCATTTTATAGCTTATATAAATGCTATTTACCATTTCATGTAGAAGCAATGATTGATCTCGTTTCCACAAATATGCTAGAGAAACAAGTCCTAGCCTTGCACAAACACTCTCTACCCGCAATCTTTGATAGTCAGATGCAATGGCACCAGAGCATATTGCAGTGACACAAGGTAATTGCCTCTTCACTTCATTTAACAAAATATACATATCTTCCACTTCATCACCTGGAGTTATTCTATAGTTAAGCTTTTGATGCCTAAAATAATTCCAGAAAATAATAACCATTAGAAAGAGGGGAACCTCAAGCATTGTATCATGCATGAACGATGCGATATTTCCCTCACAGCTTTTTGTAATGAAAACCCGAAGTTTCATATGAAAAAATTAAAGGGTACAAAATGGAAATATAAAGCCTGGGACTATATGATCCATAGAACAAAAATATTATTAAAATAAATAAATAAATAAGACACCTAGCTATTTCAAAAAAGGGCTTCAAACAAGAGACGATGAAGTAACACCTCCCATCATAGATGGGCAAGATCCCATACAAGTTATTTGCCTCCAAAAGTTTCCAAAAATCTTTTCCAAATTGCATCAGGAAATTGACATCTCCGCAAGACATGCTTCTTCTCCTTCAAGGCCCTCTTCCACATATTGTACCACTAAGATCCCAGAAGAAAAGAATACAATATTAACATAAGGTTAATGATGTCAATCCTCCCACGAGAGATCTACCTGGCAAAAATTTTGATCTTCCTAGAATTCTCACCTTCAAAAGCGAGGAGAACAAAGGAGTGCGGTGTGGTCCACACAAAAGAGAGGAAAAAAATCCATAGACAGATTCAGGGCTCATAAACAAACATCCCTAAACTCCATGCAAAGAGAGAGACCGACCAACACAGAAAGCAACTAAAAGACATCAGAAAGCTCCCTAGACATCCAAAATCAAATTGTAAGAAAGGGAAGTCTCTAAAGTGAGAAGGACAAAGTTCACAGAAGTAAAGTTTTAAGGTGGATAAATGGTAACGATGAGGGAACAGAAAACAAAGATGGTTTTCCCATCCCAATTATCCTCCCAAAAATGAACAACAAACTATCCCCAATAGAAAATCTTAAAAAGCTAAAGAAAATTGTGTAACCATAGTGATAGATTTCCATGAGTTCCTTAACGTGCTTTTGACATCACCATTTGTAACCCACTCGTTAGGGTGGAGATCGTACTTGCTCACAATGATCCCTATGTCACAAAACTTCAATTTCCAAAGGGATTCACCATAAGACGTTGTTCCAAAAGTCTCATGTTCCCTATACATACTAAGCCCTTAGCCCACCAAGGTTACATCTCAAGACACACAATCACCCCCACCCCTCCTAGACACCTTCCCATAAAAATAAATAAATAAATAAACTAAAGAAAGGAATCGTAAATAAAGATATGAAATAAATCAAAATCCCACTAAGAACAAATTAAATGAGCATCAACCTCCCACCCTTAGAAAATAAAGCCTTTTTGCACAAGAAGAGATGTTTCAAAACCTTCCCTAGCATTGGATTCTAAAAAGATGACTGAATAGGACAATTACCTAATGAAAGAGAAAGACCCAGATAGATAAAATGAATAGTACCAACTTCACACCCCTCTAAGGAAGCCCACTTCTCAAGCTTAAAGGACTCGTAAATCATAATTAATACCATACAGAAAACAGTTGTCCCCATTAAACAGAAGCTCATAAGTTATCTCAAACACTGCCAAAATGGAGTTAGGATTCATAAAAGAGTCCTCCTTACCCAAGCAAAGAAATACTATACCATCAACAAACTAAAGATGGGATAGATTCTCTCTTTCGAGCTAGAAGGAAAACCTCAATTATACCTTTATCACGGCCAATGGACACCATCCTACTAAGAACATCCACAACTACTAAAAAGAGAAATGGGGATAAAGGATCTCCTGACTTAATGCCATTTGAGGCAAAAAAATCTACCCCTCAACTTGCATGAATCGAGATGGAAAAGTTAGCCAACTTAAATAAATTCCAGATCCAAGATCTCTATTTAAACCCAAAACTCTTTCTCCACAACACACTGTAGAGAAAAATCCAATCCACACAATCATATGCTTCTTCAAAACCAATCTTAAAGATAAAACATCTCATCTTTTTTCTTTTTGATAAGAAACTGCACTTTCATTGAGATAAATGAAAAAAACTATAAAAAGAAGGCATACAAAAAAACAACCCAGCAACAGGAAACCCGTAAAGAAACGGGCTCCAATCCAAAATAATGACACCTAACTGATAATTACAAAAAGCCTTAGTGACAGATCCTCATAGAGAAGTGTTAAATCTAATGAGGTCCCACACATAATCCACAAATCTCTCCACTCCCCTAAAAATTCTATTATTTCTCTCCTGCCAAATACCCCAAAGAGTAGCCAGAAAACACGCTTGCCAAAGAAAACGCCCTTTGTCACGAAACAGGGGGAATAACAACACTTCCTCCATCATCGTCCTACAATCTCTGGAACGGGCCCAAAAAATCCCAAACCATCTAAAGAAACAAAGCGATATCTCCTACACGAACTGACAAGACCACAACAAATGTTCAAGATCCTCCGAAGCATTCCTACACAGAACACACCACTGCAGGCCCAAACAAAGAGAGCACATCCTCTGGATCCGATCCAAAGTATTAACTTTTCCAAGTAAGACTTGCCACCCAAAGAACTTAATCTTCTTAGGAATTTTAATCTTCCAAAGCGAGGTGAACCAAGGGGTCAACAGGGGCGGAGAAGAAGAAGACGACGACGAGAAGTTCGGGACATGGAAAAAAGAACTACAAGAAACACCTTTCGAAGGATGGGGGTCCACACCCTCACATCTTCCCTCCCAACAGATAAGGAAACTCTAGACAGCAGATCCAGTAAATTGGAAACCTCTAACGATTCCTGATCAGTCAAGGAATGGGTGAGCCCAAGAGATGGACAAACCCTCTTCTCCAGAACTTAAAACCTCGGCCACTGAAAAGAGTTTCTTATCAGATAGAAAGTAGATCTGAGGGAAAGCAAGACACAAGGGTTTGTCGCCTATCCAAGTATCCTCCCAGAAGTACGTATTAAGACCATCCCCCACAGAGACACGTAAAGAATGAGAGAACAGGGAAACCCAAAGCAATAGCCTTCCAGGGATTGTAGTTGCTTACTCTAGCCTCATCTGCCGGTACCCAATCAAAGGGATGTAGCCCATACTCACTCACTATAATCTTTCGCCACAAGGCATTAGGTTCGTGGAAGAACTGCCATAACCATTTAGCCAGGAAAGCCTCGTTTCTGATCACCAAGTTCCCAATGCCCAAACCTCCCTCCTCCAGAGGCTTAGACACCTCTTTCCAGTTAACGAGATGAGCCCCACCCCCCTCCTCCACACCTTCCCAAAGAAAATCCCTCATTAATTTCTCTAACCCTTCACTCACAGTCACTGGAATTCTGAAAAGGGACAAAAAGTAATTCGGAATGCCTTTGAGAACAAATTGAATTAAAGTGAGTCTCCCTCTAAGGAGAAAAAGGCCTTCTTCCAAGTAGAGAGACGCTTCTGAAACTTTTCCTGCACCGACGCCCAAAAGATAGCAGACTTTGGATTGTGAACTAACGGAAGACGGAGATAAGAGGACGGAAACTTACCAACTTCACACCCTACAAGAGTCGCCCACTCACTAATCTTAACGTCCTCACAATTAATTCCCAATAAAGAACTCTTGCCCCTAGTAATCTTCAGACCCGAAATAGCTTCGAAGAAACCAAGAATGCAATTAAGATTCTTAAACGCATAAAGATTGCCGGAACAGAAAAGGATGGTATCATAAGCAAACTGAAGGTGAGAGAGACGGATTTTCTCCCTACCCACTTCAAAAGCTGAAAGCCCCTTTCTCCACTCCAACAGAGATAAGTCTACTCAGGATATCCACCACCAGAATAAACAGGAAAAGGGACAAAGGATCACCTTACCTGAGGCCTCTCGAGGCTAGAATTTTCCCCCTAGGTCTCCCATTCACCAAAATAGAGAAATTCACCAACCTAATGCAATTCCAAATCCACCCTCTCCATTTGTAGCCAAAACCTTTCTTCCACAAAACCTTTCTTCCACAAAACCTTGTCCAAAAAATCCCAATCCACATGATCATAGCCCTTTTCAAAATCAATCTTAAAGATCACACCCTCTTTTTTGCTCTTTCTATAATCCTCAATCACCTCATTGGCAATCAACACCTTATCCAAAATTTCTCCCTGCAACAAAAGCCTCTTGCATATCTGAAATGGTAGTCGGCATAACCTTTCTAAACCTGTCAACGAGGGTCTTGGCATTTATTTTATAAAGGCTTATAACCAGACTGATAGGTCTAAACTCTTTGACTTTGACTGCATTAAGTTTCTTCGGAATGAGACACACATACGTCTCATTCATAGAAGCGTCAATCACCCCTCTTTCATCAAACTCTCGAAACACTTTCATCAAGTCCTCCTTAACTCCGTCCCAGTTATCCTGAAAGAACGCCATAGTGAAACCATCCGGGCCAAGGGACTTATCTCTATCGAAACCAAACACAACCCTACAAACTTCTTCTAACGAGAAGGGAGCTTCAAGGTTTTCTTTCTCTAACACCGAGATAGGGTTCCAATCAAAACCTTCCAAGAAAGGCCTAGAACACGGCGCTGGGGAGTATAAATTCTTAAAGAACAAAATCACTTCCTCCTCAATTTTCTGATCCTCCCGCAGCACCTCCTCAAACTCATTAACCAAGGAAGAAATAACATTCTTACCTCTTCTACCATTAGCCAAACTATGGAAAAACCTGGAGTTACAGTCACCTTCTTTAGCCCATTTGAACTTAGCTTTCTGTCTCCAACTTTGATCCTCATTACAAAGAATCTTACCAAACAGACCCTTCAACCTACACCTTTCCTCAAAATGCTCCGGCGAAAGATTTCCATCCACTTCAAGAAAATCAAGGACTTTAAGCATCTAATCTTTAATCACCTCATTCGCAATAAATACCTTGTCTGGAATTTGTCACCCTTCAACAAAGGCTTTTGGCACTGTGAGGTAGTGCTAGGGAAAACTTTCTTAAATCTTTCCGGTAGCACCTTTGCAACAATCTTATACAAGTTAGTGACAAGGCTGATGAGTCTAAAATGCTTCACTCTCCTAGCACTCGCTCCTTTACCTCTCTCATAGAATTTGCTAAACACAATTCCCATATCCCCCTTAATTGGGTCCCAATTGAAAGAAATTCATGGTGAATCTATTGAACCTGAGCCTTGTTCCGATCAGAGTTGAAGACCACCTTCTTTTTTCTTTTCTCTTTTTTCTTTTTTTTTTTTTTTGAAAATTGGGAGTCTGAACTTTGCTCCCCTATACACAGGGGCACCCGTGCCCGCCCCAAGACCCGAAATCGGGATACATCAAAGATTTTTGGTATTGAGCTCACCAGAAGGTTCGAACTTGAGACCTTTAAGTCAGTGTGACCAAGAGACCCCAAACCCTTRCCAATTGGGCTGCCCCTTGGAAGCTTTGAAAACCGCCTTCTTAATCCAATGTGAATGTGAAGGGGGCAAGCCTGCTCAAGCCTTTCCCTCCCCCTAAGATGGGGCACAAGTTTAAACCTTCAACGAAAGGTTGAGCACAAATAGGAAGAAAAGGGAGATGAAAAAGGACAAGATCACTTCTAAACCCATCTTCTTGTTTCTCTAACTCTCAATTCTTTCAGCTGGATCTTGAGGTCCCCCTACAAGGTTCCATCTTGCTTTGGGATTGCATCAGCTCCTTTAATTTGATCAAACTCTTTAATTTCAACCAAAATATTTTCCAGAATCTCTTTGGTATTGCCAAACGTTGATCTGCTCCATTCTTTGAGAAACCCTTTCATCTTCTTGAGCTTTTTATGTAAAGAGAATCTTGGTCATCCTTTCACTTTAGTTTTCAACCTCCAAGATTCAAACAGCAAAATAAAACAAGGATGAAGCCATAAATTTTCAGGAAGACCCCATTTGAAAGTTCATGTTTCCATGAGGATAGGTAACATGGTCAGAAGTGTGTCTTGGCATTCAGACAGCTCTTGAGTCTTTGAACATCAGTTCCCAGTCATGTGATACAAGGAATCAATTAATTTGAGACCATACATCCTCTTTTCTCAAATTTGACCATGAATGATTGTGTTGTATGTTCCCGTCTTTTTAATGAAAAGTATCAAGTTTCTTATTTAAAAAAATAATAATAATAAACCAAGCTTATGCTCTTTGCCAAAGAATTTTATTTTAAAAATCTTGCCTTGTGGATCCTTGAATTCGCCTTCTAAACAATGGAACTCCCATGCATTCTGCATAGCTAACAATAATTTGATGTCCAACCTGAAGAAATATGGCCAATAACCCAAATTAGCAATCATAGATTACAAATTTAAAAGTCCTAGAATACCCTTTCAAATGAAAAAAAGAAAAAAAAAAGGATAAAAAATATATAAACCCAGAAGGAGTGAGATAATTCAGAACTCAAAGGAGCGAGGTAACTCATTGGGGTATTCATGGGTTGGGTTGGGTTGGGTTGGGTTTAGATATTTTTAGACTCGATTCTATTTAATCATTCAAGTTGCAAATTTTTGTAATCTAAAAAACCCTTATTAAATGGACGCAACCCAACCATAGAATATTTCGGTAGGTTCAGTTTGGGTTATCAAAATTATTTGTTCAAAATTTTGTAATAAATAGAAAAGGTAAATTTATCTATCTTTTTAATTAATAATAATTTAGGTTGGTTCACTTAGACCAAAAATAATTAGGAGAACCCATAAACCAACTAATAAGTGTTCAATTTGTTTAAACCCAAACCAAAACAAAGAAGGTTATAACCCAATACATTGAGTTAATCAATTTTTTTGGGTCATCTAGCTTTCAACACACCTATAGCTCGGTGTCTATAAGAAAAATATCAACAGTAGTTCAAAGAAGTAAGGTAACCCAAGGGTCAAGCGAACGGTTTTATAACAAACTTGAATCTCAAAGTCATATAAAAGAAAATCTTCCTGGTAGAAAAGAAGGGGAAAATAGAGAAAATTAAACCTTGCCAACCCAATTACCGATGCAGGTATTTAGTTCTTATTGCCGTTTGGAAAATGATAAGGAAACAGTTATAGCATAATCATGACGATTATACAGGAAACTCATAATTATTTCCAACGAAATGAACACTTTAAACCTGTTTTTTCATGGAGAATGTCTCAAAATGTAAGACAGGGCTCTAGTTGGAGAGTACAAAACTAAAAAACATAAACGATCACTTTCATGATTAAGGGCAACGATTTACTGTCATAACTCATAAACCAAATCATATCAACCATTTACTTCAAAATTTAAGTGAACTTGTCCATCCGTATTTTGCCTAAGGAGGAAGTCAGAAACAGAAAGACGTACAGTTTGATACATGTAGCTGTCAAGCTCGTCCACGGAATCATCGGCAGGCATCAAATTAGCCAACGCTACGATCTAGAACAGACATTGAACAACATTAACTGAGCAGCAGTGCAAGCTTACAACAGCCAATTTACATTGTTCTCGAAAGGAAGACAAGGATGATGAATTAAGAGGCAAAATCTGAAAGGAAAACGAAACCTCGTGGCCGTATTGAATAGACTTCATCATGGCGAAGCAACTGTCCTTGCCGCCGCTCACCAATGCCACCACCTTCATCTCCGATCGGCGACTGAAATTCGTGTCCTTGTTGATTGGGGTTTTGGGGATGTTCTGGCACCGGCAGGGGTGAAGGATAAATCGTTTTGGCTTCTAAGGATTCATTTTGTATCCAAAGGAAGGTCTAAATTTAAGGCCAAATTAAATATATATATATATATATATTGTGTATATATACAAGGTAAAATTATCAAATTTGGTGAAATGTTTAACCTTTGGATACAATTGCTGTTTTTAATTTTTGTTTAAATATTATTTTGCTTATTTTAATCGGTGTGTTTTAAAAAATACAAATTTTTATCTCTACAATTAGCGACGTACTACAACAAATTGGTGTATGGAAGTTTGAATCTCTGATTTTAAGGAAATAAGTAGGTATCAATTATAACTGAGCATGTCAACAGTTTTATATTTTAGTAATGGTATCGAAAGAGGGAAAATAATATGAATTTATTAGTACCTGTTTCTTAGCTAGTACGCATTTGATATGATGACTCATTTCATCCTTTGTGTTCATATTTATTTTACCGTCATAACTTGAACTTTTTTATACCTAAGAATATTAGGAGTAAAACGAATGGAAGAGTATATCATACTAATATTATTGTGTGTCGTTATGTAAAACTCATTAATGTCTACATGAGTACCACTATGAAAGTTAGCATACTCTAATCTATTGTATTTCCCATATCAAGATTATTTGCATGTTGATTAGTGGTACAGTCTTATTCAAATATTTTTCTCTAGAGCATATCAATAGAAAAAGACCTTCCATGAAATATATATAGAATGAAAACCGTGCTTAAAGTCCTTGAGATACCAACAGCAAATTTGTTGTGGGTGCATGTGGTAGTTGTAACCGAAATAACCGAAACAACTATGTCATATGTCTACTATTTATTGCAAGTACACGTACACTTACATAGCATGACAATATACTTCATGTCTTTTTTATATTTCTTTTACATAAAAGAAAAAATACAAAAATTTCCATAAGATATAATAGCCATTATAGTCATACATTCGAATATTTAATTTGAGTAATCATAAAGTTGTTGCAATGAACCCATTTCCATCATTTTGACATAATTAATATATTAAAAAAATAATATCCYAACAAGATGAGGAAAGGTAGGGATGGAGGCGAGACACAATCAAGATAAAGATTATATTCTTCGTCCTCAAATTTAGGTTGAAGAGAGAATTTAATACTCTTTTTTGTCGTAAATCCCCCTATTTTCATAAGAAAGAAATCACTATTTTAAGTCGAAGATTGCTTGTAAGTTTGGCACTAAGACAATATATCATTACTAGTGTGATTTTGACGATGGATAAGCTTATAACATATATGACTTAATGTTGCAAACTATATCACAATGCTTCGCCGACAAAAAAATTGTTTGGTCAAATGATTGAAAAGAAAATAACAAATGAATCTTGATCATCTCCCAACCCCACAACAACCAAGACTTGCCTTTTCTTCTAGTCCAAATTTTTTTTACTACATAGACAAAATCAAATCAATTAAATTTCAGTTGCTTCATACCTATTTCATTTTGATATCCACACTTTAAATTATTCATTTTTATTTAAAAATTTTATATAAAGGTCTATTTTGCTTCAATAAAATTGTTAATGAGTTTTTGCAAGCAACTTATATTTGAGAAAATTCAGTACACTAAAAGAATGGCTATTAAACACTACACAGAAATTTTAACATCAAGAAGCATAATGAGTATTTGAGAAAATTCTACACTAAAAGACTTCAATTGAAACCAACCTAAATATAGCACAATTGGAAAATATATGTCATAGACCAAAAAGGTTAGAAGTTCGAATATCTCATCCTCACATGTTTAACTCGAAAAAGAAAATACATTTGAAAATTTAAGAACCATGATCAAATTAGTATAAAGTTAACAAAATAATAATAATAATCTACCCCATCAGAAGAATTATCATTTCAATTTGCATTTACCTGTCCAACTCAAATGGGGCTACCATTGGATTTTATACAATGAGACACTTGATATTCCTTATTTAAACCTAATGTTCTCAACAACATGGTAATTTCAAGCTAATGCTAAACAAAAGAGATTTTGAAATGAATATAGAAAATTATATTACAAATTCAGGAAGAAATTTGAACCAACCTTTTTTTTCATTCAATTAGTTCAATATGTGGAGTAGAGATTCAACCTTCGACTTTTGGGTCGAAAAAATATACCTTAACCAGTTGATCTAAGCTACAACTCGTATGAAGAAACACACTAATAGGCAGGTGGATATATATATGTATACATATCTTCTAGCCGCCCTGTAAGCTTGGCAAAAATCTCCCACAGAGAACAGTAATAAATTTACCAAAACTCAAAACATTTCAATAAACTTATCATGTGAGGAAAAATGAAGGCTCTTGATACAAATTGCATCCAGTGTTTAAATGATTAGGTGAATGGGAAGATAAGCATCTTTGGGAAAGGATGTTTATTAACTTGGGAGATGAAGGAGAAAAGTAATTCAAATGAAAAAAAAGAGAAAAAAGAAAAAAAGAAAAAAGAAAGAGTTAAAAATGAATATTCATAAATAAGAAGAATCCCCAGCTCAAAAGGTTATAGAAAGTAGACACTGACCTGCCCTTTCACTCAACAGAAAGTCATACAAATGAAAGCATCATAGAACCACCCAAGGCAAATAAAGGGAAGGGACATTTTTTTTTTCTTTTGAGAAACAGAATAAAATTACAAACAAAAAAAGGGGGGGCCGTAGATGATATCTAACTATAAATAGGCTTAAAATGAAGGGGAAAATGAAGGTAGTGTTCTAAACTAAAACCAAATGGCCTTGAATTATCGACCCGTGCCAAGCAGACAAACACTTACAGAATGTCGGATCAGTACAATCTACGGGATGTTCCATGTGATATTCATAATCGGTCAAAGCAGCAACAGGAGACCTGCAATTCGTGTTCGAGGAGCAACATTAGAGAAGACGTTCCATAGGTAAAAGCTGCAAAGTTCCCCCTCTAACATGGTTGTAGCGATCTGCATTCTCTTTCAAAAGAACTGATCCATCGGTACATTTCTTCTTCAACTGGTGGCCAATTTAAAAACGAAAATTTTCAAGCCAAGCCGCTTTCTTCTCCTCCCTGAAAAGAAAGGACACAAGTAAATTCTACATTACTAAATTTTTCAATAGGGCATTAATAATAATATAAGAAAGTTAAAAGGCCTCGTTTTTTTTATTAAATTAAGCTTGTAAGCACTACTTTCACTTGTGTATTTCTTTTGAATTTGTTTTCAAAATCTAAGCCAAAATTTGAAAACGTAAAGAAAATAGTTTTCAAAAACTTGTTTTTGATTTTGAAATTTAGGTAAGAATTCAATTTTTTTTTAAACAAGAAACAAACTTTTCAGTGATGGATGAAAAAATAAAAAAAATGTCTAAGGATACAAACTCCCAAAAAGATTGAAAATAAAATTCAAATATGTTTTTAAGAGGGGTGAAAACATAATAAATAAATTGGGAGAAAATAAGTATAATTCCCAAAAACTAAAAACTAAATGGTTACTAAACAAAGCCACTCTATAATTCAAGAATACCAATATACAAAACCCCGTCAGATAATTTGTCACAGCAGACTACAGTAACCAATATTACGATCATGTCCATGCAATGACATTATTTTGCAATTGAAGAAAGGAAGAAAAATTAGGTGCATTGTAACAGAACCAAGCATCTATTGCTTCATCCCTGTCCAAATAAGTCAAGCTTGACAGTCATATTATTAACCATCATCCATAGGCAGTCAATTCACTATTGAAGGCATTGATACAAAATATTATGCAGCAAATATCATGTAAAAGGTCTTGATTTACCGGAATACACTGGGAAACCAAAAATGCTAATATACAAGCTTGTTATTTTGCGCGCTAAGATAGTAAAAGCATTAAATGGCTTTCATGACGACATTGGTATTTATTAACTGAATTTCAATTAATGGTTTCAAACCGAAAATCATTGTCTGGAAAAACAATTAGCTTACCTGATTGACTTAGAATGGAGCTTCAAGAGATTCATCCCAAACCTCTGCACTTCCATTAGAGGCATCTTCAACATCTTCTTCCATAGAAAGCCTAATATATTCTCTATGCGCAAAACGGTCCCACTCGGTCAAAGTAGGATTCTCACGTTCCTGCCAAGCCACAAGGTCGAAATTGTCAGCAGCAAAGTATGCAGAATATTGCCTGCAACATTCATAATTTATCGCAAGCCAATGGCTAAATGAAATAAAAGTTCATCTACCTGGCGGATAAGAAATGGATCACGAGTTTCGAAGGCCATAAACTTATTCAGGTTAAAAAGAATATTAAAAACACTTCCAGAAAGCTTGCAGCCTTTCAGATCTCGCAGAGTGATATAAGTCTCGTTCTGCAGACAAGAAAACATCGTGTAAAGCCGCAACAACATCACTTACTAATTGACAAAATTTTGGACAAGCTTTCAACGATGATAATACCAATGGATATCTTTTCATGATATTCTTCAAAAACTTTGGACACACATCCTAACTCAGGAGAACAAAACTAATAAAGGAGTAGAAGCTGAACCTCTGGTCCAATCATATCAATTATCTGGCACAAAATATCCTCAAAAAGCACAGGTTCTTGAGCCATGCATTCCATACGATGTAACTGCTCCTCATAAAAGAATTGCAATTCATTCCGTGTTAAAATTCCATTACCATCCAAGTCTATGCACTTGAACCTAGGAAAAAGGTGTAATCACAATGAGCTGCTTATCACAAACTTGATCAAGAAATGAAAAACTGGAGAAAACAAACCATAGTGAAGAAACAAAATTCATATGGACCGCAGCTACAAATAAAATGTCTTAACAGCTGTTATTGAATGACATAAAACAAACAAGCAAATGCATATAGAGGCATATATCTATTATTCAAACAACATTCTCTGCTGATTACAATCAATCTTTAGGGAGGCCCATCAGCCCACAATCAACCCACAGTAAATCCCTCTCATATTTATGCCCCCACTTGGGTCCCATGCCCACGTAACCGGGCTCGGCCTATTATTCAAACA